AAACCCTAAACCCTAAACCCTAAACCCTAAACCCTAAACCCTAAACCCTAAACCCTAAACCCTAAACCCTAAACCCTAAACCCTAAAGAAACCCTAAACCCTAAACCCTAAACCCTTGTCCGTGTTTGTTTGACGAGGGAGAAATCGAAATAAAGAAAAATTAATAGCTTGACATTTGTACGATTATGTTTTATGACGGTGTCAGGTCTCATCTCTAGTTCAATGTGTGGAAGATATTGGTTTACGAGTAAAGAACATGGGAAGGAAGTAGTGATTTAAAGTTTTTTGGCTTTCTCCCTCTTTTTCTTGGCGGCTTTAAAATTCGTTCCTTGTTTGTTCTTTTAAAATTTCTCCTAATTTCTCCTCAATTTTATTTATTTGTATTGTTCTTTTTCTGCGGTTTTGCCGGTTTTTAAATATTTTTCACCACATCTGGGACGTTTTAAAAATGTGCGATCCGGTGAGGAGGCTTGGACGGGGTGAGATGGCCAAGTTCATTGACGAGTCGGCACGCATCTCTCTCGCACCACCGAGGCATCCCAGTAGGGCGTCAGTGAGAGAGTATGACAACACCAGATAGACCGCCCCTCTCTAGCAGGAGTCCCTGGAGTTGCTGCTTAATATGTGAAAATGCAAGTGAGGTGCGCACACGACGATGCAGGTTCGAGACATGGAAGTCATGCAGTGTTTGTCCATACATGTTGCCTTTTCTCTTGTTCCATGATGTGTCGGCATCAGGCACTACACCATCTGTGCCGAGAGGCGTTGCGAGTTACTGTCGAGTGAGAGGATGGACGGATGGATGGATGGATGGATGATGGATTGATGCTGTTTGCTTGCTCCTTGCAAATCCTCCTCGATTGACCCATCAACAATAGCGGAAAAATGGTTTACACGTCATATGTGCACTGCCTGCGTCACTTCTCGATTGATTGACCTTTCTGTAAAAGTCTCTCTCTTGACTTAAGCTCTTCTTGCCGCGACCATGGGAGAAATCCGAAATGTATGGGCCAGCATGAGTGAAGGTAACACAACTCTTTTTCTTCAACATTGACCGTGATATTCATATCTTCACTGTCGTGCGTCTCCTCGCGCTTCAGAATCTCTCACCCACAGCTGTGTCGAGGTAAATCAGAGTGTTTCATGATAAATGTGTTTGATGCAAGCAGCTGTGTGCTTTGGCCAGTGTCATTCAGACACAGACGTATAGAGACAGACTGTGAGTCTATTATTCGTCCCTCACTCTTAACCTAGCGTACACAAACAGTCCGCACAGCATGGGCAGAGCCGTCTGTCTTGCAGCTGGTTTGTTTATCAACTCCCCGCCAGAAGACGCGCCGGAACCGCCCAGCGTGTGATGCCGTCAAGCGCCTTCATCGCTGCCGTCACCGCTTGACAGACGGCGGCAGACAGGTATAGCCGGTGTCATTCTTATCGTCGATGACTCGGAATCGGGCCGATGCGTCCTTGTCCGTGCAGTCGGCCTGGAACCGAACAAAGAAGACACACAGCTTGATGCATCATATGTGTGGGCGGCCGGCATTTCGCTGCTTACCACTCGCGTGAGGAATTCTATGACGTCCATTGCCTCTTCGCAGGCCTAATGAATGGGACACGAACGCATACAGAAAGGCATACAGCCGGCCATATGTTAGTGCATCGATACGACTGACCTCATTATACTGGGAGGCTGGGAGGGCTCATGCGAGGACCGGATTGTATCATCGATGAGCGCCACGTTCATGCGGACCACATCATGGCTGACGACAGAGAGCGGCATGAGCACAATGAGTACGTCTGAGCATTGTGTGGCACGCACCTGTATGTAATGGACAGCCTTCGCTGCTTGTAGTGCTCGGGCTGATACATAGATGCCACACATCAATGAGGGGACACAGGGGACCGGTCGGTCAGACGTCCTCTATCCCTCCTTGCCTCTCGTGCGCAGACAGCATCACCACACCAGGTGTATCGGCTCAGTGTGGCTGCACTGCACACAGAATCAATAGGCCCAGAAGCGATATGTGTCGTTATATGGACCTGCACACAGCAGACGGCAACATACACACGTGCATTGTGCGCGCGTATATGTATACGTTGTCTTGAGACTTGCATACCGATGACGTCAGCGAGTCTCAGTGCGACTATTCGTGGCGGCGAATGTGGCTTCCCGTCTGCTCGCCCGCCATGCCCATCGCACACCCATCTCGACAGCCACTCCTCGCACGCCAGTTTCCTCTGATGAACACACGGAACATCTCTGCGTGGACGCGTGGATCGCTGAGTTTGTATATTGATTGCCTCACATGTCCATATCTGTCCTTCCTGTTTAGTCGGGCCCCCTCCCCGTCACCGGACAGCATCATCCTCACCCACATGAGACCGACCAGACCACCTGCACAACCACATCCATGCCTTGGCGCATTACAACCGACGCAAACGCATGGGGTGGGAGGTGGGAGGTGGATCTTGACTGACCGCTGCGTATCACAGACCTCGTACACGGAGTCGGTGGAAGTGAACACATACAGCTGGAAGGATCCCTCCAGCGCCCGCACGGAGCACTCGACTTCAAGCGGACTGAAGGCGGAGAAGCCTACTACTGAATAACACCAGCCAGCAACAGCAGCAGCAACATGTCTACGGGTCGGTGGATGTGTTAATTGTCGATGAACCCACCGGCAGTCCACTTCCATTTTGCTCCGTTTGCCTGTCGCTTCTTTGCAGTGATGTCGATGAGGCCTTTACCCGCGGCACACAGCCTCCAAAGGGATCTGCACACAACACACAGATCAGACGTCAAGCGTCAATTCCTCATTCCTTTCATCTGATTCATCCATGCCGCCCGCACCGTCAGTGCCGAAGTACTTATTGCCTCTGTTGACCATCACAATGTCATGCGCGTCATCCCTCTGCACCAAACACTCTGCACGCAAACAAAACAGAACGAATCGATCAAACAGGCGGATCGTGGCTGTTTGAGTCACATCACCACCTAGGAGGGCTCTTCCGACGAAGAGGGGCAGCACCGACGCCATCGAATCACGAAGCTTGGCTGCCTAAAGCTCGCATTTCGCGAGCCGGGGCCCATCATCTGCTACCGTCGATGCCGTGGACAGATCTTCTGCTTTGCTTCACGACAATTGATTCTGAATCACAGTGAGTGACAGCGTCTGGGAAGCGACGGCTCATCGTGCACCTTTTTTGTCCGTGTGGTGTCTGTTTTGGCTTTGACTGATGCAGATAGATAGCCGCCTGAGCGCTCATGTCCACGGAAACCAACGCCGAGGAGCTCTCCGCCGACAGCCCGACGGCAGACAGCAACGGCGCCGACAACAGGGGAGATGCCAGCCAGCAGGAGCAACCACAGCAGCGGCACGTGTGTATGAGTGCCCACCCGGCAGAGGAGGGATCTGGTGGGAGTGGGAGGCCTGGCGATGAGTCGTACGGGAGCGGCCCTGGTGACCGCACAGAGAGTGCGTCGTCTGCCCCGCTACCAGCATCCTCTCACAGAGAGCGCACCCCTGCGACTGACAGCGACGACATGTCTGAGTTGCTGTCGTCCAACCCCCCCATCGGCATCCAGTGTCCGCAGATCCCTAGTGAGGCCATCGACACATACCAGAGTCAGCAGCAACCGCAGCCATCCGTCCAGCGGGATCAGTCCATGCAGCTCATTCCCATCCCCTCACCAGCAGCCGACGTATCGGCTGTGGGCAGCGGCTCGGGGCTGATGGGAGGGGCGGGGCACAGCGGTGGGTCCGGAGAGGATGACATCACTGTGGACGCCACATCGGTACGGACAGACAGACAGACAGACAGACAGACACGAGGGAGGTGCATGCCCACATGTGTGCATATGTGTGTGATGTGTGGGTTGTGACTGTCAGTACGGCAGCCGGCAGCCCTCCCCTGCTTTCGACCTCTTCGCATGCACCCAGCAGCAGCAGGCCGCTAATCTCACTCGCTCCATCGACCCGTCGCCAATCGCCGCAGCAACTGCATCAGCAGATCGGCAACCGGCGGGTCCCTCTCGCCCATTCCCTCCCTCCACCCCCTCCCCCATCACACCCGACCAGCAACACACGGCCAACACGCGGAAGGGTCAGACGTCGGGCTCTGATGCTGTTGCCATAGTGTCCCTGGCTGCTGATGCTCTGCTGGCTAGTGACATCGGCCCCTTCGTGAGCCACGTCGAGAAACTCACGACCTCGCTGCCGGATAATGACCCAGCGGTCAAGGGACTCGTACGGTCATTGGCCGAGAAGGACAAGGCGCGTCGACAGCAGGGTCGGGGAGGCCTCGCCGGCTGCATTGTTTCCATTTTCACGGACAGCAGCAAGCCATCACATCAGTCTGCGGCGACGCGCTTCCTCAATCGGCTTTGTCAGGCTGGGTATCCGTTTGGTGTGGAGTGGCTACCGCTGTTTGGTGTCTTGGTGGAGGCAACGGCGGGAAGGCTGACAGTACCGGACCGAGAATTCATGACAGCTGCCTCCGTGTTGCTCAGCGAGAGCATTCCAGGTGATCATGTGGTGAATCGGCAAAGGTGGCTGTCATATCTCCACATATCTGTGTGCCTTTGGTGCATCGCTCAGTGACGGCTAAGGATATGGGGGCGTTTCAGCAGCACATGTTCTGCCACATCGATGTTCTCGTCGATACGCTGGTCACGAGCTGTGATCAGGTGATTGTGTGGAGGGCATTCGAGCTGATAGGCATCATCTTCAGAGACGCCCGCCGCGGCTTCCCATCTCATCCAGGTGCGGGTCACCTGGATGTCAAGAGGGCTCGTTGGTCCGTCACGCCGCTGTGTGAGCGTGTTTGGGTGTGTGTGGATGCAGGTGTGCTGGTGTCCATGTACTGTAGTTTGTCAGCGAGCCCCGCTGCTCTGGGCAAGATGGCCGCAGTGCTGAAGGACCACCCCACCGCTGAGCAGCCGGCTGGCGCGGTCTCCAGATTTCTGAATGTGCCAGTGGCAATGGCTGGTGAGAAAAGGTGCATGATCCATGCCACATAGTGATGTCTTGTGTGCGTCTGTGTTTCCTCAGAATGTGGCTACTGCGAGCGTGTTGCGCAGGCGGGCTTCCTCTCGGCGTCTATGAGCATCCTGCAGAGCCGCAGACTGATCAAGGATGGCCTCCATGGACGAGCTGTCGTGACGGCTTCGGTTCATCTGCTCAATCTCATACTTGCTCGTAACTCGGTCAGTCAGAGTGGATGCGACGCGCATGTATGAGCACTCGGCACTTCTGGTTTCACTTAACTTCAGTATGCTTCGTGCGAGGGCCTGTCCGAGGTTATGTGCTCTATGCTGTCGTGGTTTGTGACCTTAGACATTTCACTTCTCGCATCCTCCGCTCGCGGCGTCAGCTTCATCAGCATCGTGATGGGCATCCTGGACAGCCTCGCCAGGTGCATCTTCCCTTCATCTCTTGAGTGCACCGAGTGAATTGCCTTCATGTGTGCAGCTACTGTAATCGGCAGCTGATGAGTGGCAAGGCCAAAGACAACCCGATCGTCGAATGTGTTCTACAGGTCAGTGAGGGCAAATGATGACCGAATCGGCGGTCACCTGTGTGCGTCTCTTACTGCGTGTGACGCCCTTCATTTGCAGGTGGACATCTCTGCCCTGTCTGGGCCCCCCACGGCGGCCTCACAAGACAGCCTCATACAGGAGGTAAATGAAGTGCCAACAACACGCAGGCATCTGTGCACCTGTGCACCTATGGCTGCAGATTTTGGACTTTTTCGCCAAGTTTCGCCGCCGCAAGGTCTGACCCCCATGTAGACCGATCGATCACTGCTCGCCACTGTGTGTGTGTTTGTTGAAGTAGCTGCCGATCGATCGGTGGGTCTCATCGCAGCACGACCCCCACAGAGAGGCTGCACGACGGCAGAACGAGCATGTAGGTACAGAGAGAGAGTTTACATATGTGACCGACCCCTCACATGTGCTGTGTGTCCATCAGAATCGGCTGGTGTGTTGTCTGTCGGACAAGGGAGTCCTCCGCACCATCTACCAGCTTGTTGGGCCGTTGCATTTCACTGTCGCACAAGTCGCTATGCTGGCCGCCTCATGTCAGAGTCTGCTAGACGCGTAAACAGTCATTCACACACAGACAGACGCACCTGCACTCCATGGCCACTTCGTGCTGCCTGGGTTTAGGTTGTGTCCCGTCCGTTCGACGGACCGCATCTCATCGTATGCCAATCGCGAGCTGCTGGCGCTACATGCATCGATCTCAGTGAGCAAGCAGAATCGGCTGGTAGCAGCACTGGCCGGGTAGGCTGATGTAAAGAGGTGATAGACAGCAGTTCACTCATGTTCACGGTTTCATTCTCGCTGTCAGGTAGTCACCCGACATGATGTTGGAGTTGTCGATCAGCTGGGAGTGCTCACCGACCGCCGATGACATCAGCGACCTCATCGGCTTTCTCGAGGGGGCCGAGAGACTGATGACGCTCAGACTGATGTGTAAGGCCGTCGGAAGAGAACGCGCACGTTGCCGCTGACTGTCAAGGCATGTGTCTCGCGCAGATGCGAATTTGAATCAGCTGCCTGATGACGAGTGCGCACAACTTGCCGAGGCCATCGGCCGCCTGCCCTCACTTGCCACTCTCCACCTGGAAGACGGAGACCTGAGCCGTGCCTTCATCGACCGGTTGAGTGCTCTGCTCAAGGCCCAGCCAGAAAGAGACGGCAAGGGCGACAGCAGCAGCGAGAGTGCCTCCCCGCCGCCGCCATCATCGCGTGACGTCACGTGCACCCACAGCACATCGTCGGCTGCCCTGCCGGCTGGCCTAGCAGAGGATTGTCAAAGGACGATCGAGGCGGGGCGGGACGACAAAAAAGAAAGGCCCTTCACGACACTCAGGTATGGGCGCAGGACAGGGAATGAGACAACGGAGCATTCACTCAGGCCGTTGGGTGTGTACAGCTGGATGATAATCTCTCTATGTCGAATGTCGTTCAATTCTTCTCTAAACTTGCTCGAGGTGCGTCGAAAAAACAAGGAGATTCCATCTTATTGATTAGGGCCTGTGTGTGTCGTATCGCCTGCAGGGCCTCTGTGGTAGGTCTTTCGAGTCTCTGAGTCTGCTCGAGATGGTCTTGGCCAAGTCTGAGGGCGAAAGTGATCGATACGACGAACTGCAGGTCTGCAAGGCGCTAGCCATGTGCTTAGACAGCCTTGCTGATATCCCTTCTCTGTTGGCATCCCTCTTGTCCGCAGAGAGTGCTGGAGCGCCTCTTCGCCACGATCGCGTGCACGTGGCTCTGTCTGTCTTTCTGCTCGGTTGCCGGGCTGTCGTTGCCCGCCGTTGAGTTCATAGTCATGTCCTCCGCGACCGCTGGCCTCAAGACCAACCCCAATCGACGTACTCTCAAGTAGGCCACGTGAACCGCTTTGTGTGCGAGTGTCTATGTAGTTGAGCGAGTGTATATGCAGCTGACCTGTGTCTCTTCAGGTACATGGGTCTGCCTGCCACCGCAAAGACCATTGAGCCCTTCCTCCAATTGGCATTGAAGGACCTCACACTCTCATGCCTTTCTCTCTCATGTACGTGAAGCCACCAAGCAACCGTCGCGTACACAAATCTGCTCCATGTGTTTGTTTTTCAGCACGGGTCCCCTTGGGCAAGCTCATCAGCCAGCAGTTCCTGTCGAGTGGTGACTTTGCGTCATTGGTGCAGGGGGCCGTCACCAGAGCCCACGATGAGCGTGAGAGTGAGCTCCGAGCCGCGCGTGCTGTCAAGGAGCGTCAGTGGGCGGCGGATGACGCCCGCCTGCTGCCGGCGGCTGACGCAGCTGAGGAGGACCGACGGATGGCGGCACGGGAGAAGAGGGACGAGGGGCTGCTGGCCGAGGAGAAGGAGATCAGGAGCAGCCCACCATTCCTGCTGGACCTCAGAAGTAAGTATATGCAAGAGCCAGAGGGATATCCGTGTAGGTATGTTGTGTTGTTCTGCCTGTGACTCCCGTTCAGACGTCCCTCTTGCCGATACCAGCACATCTCGCGTGTTGATTCCTAAAAAGGATCTTCAGGTGATCGAGGATATGAACAAGGAGTACAAATTCCGGCGTTCAGTGATCGACACATGTAAGGAACCGAAGCACTAGGGATGCATGCTCCTTTCCCCTCATCTCCTCTGTGTGTGTGTTCCCCTCTGTCTGCTGCTGTCTGTCAGCTCTGGATTCCGTCGGTTGGCCACTGACACCTCTCCGCCGGAGCCTGTGTCGTGCCCTTGTGCGGTCCTATGACCCAATCAGCCCTCTCGTATGGGCGCAGACAGTCACCAGCAAGGGGCCTTCATTGCTGCTGCTGTATTTCGAAAGCCTTTCACACAACAATCGCCGCCCCGATTCGACATTTGGCTTCCAGAACCACTTCTCTGTGACAGCTGCTGACCTGCCCATGTACCGCGACTGCGTGAGGGAGCTCGAGGCTCTCAAGGACGCCCCTGCTATCAGCAGCATCACTCAAGAGGATGTCGACGCAGCCCACACCGCCCTCACTGGTAAGTTAGCTGAGAAGGGGGAAATGGCAAGATCACACACACGTGTCATCTCCTTCGTTGTGTTGTGGTTAGAGGCCGTTAGCCTGGTGAACCAGCAAGACTCTACAGGCCAGGAGCAGGAGACTGTGCATCTAGCGGTACACGAGATCATACGCTGCGGATCGTCTGTTGCCGACTACAATGCGATTATCATTCAGACTTGGTTTGAGAAGCAGAAGCGGGTTGCCGTCATCGACAACCTGCTGGCGACGCTGCAGACCAAGCTCAACGACCTCAAGGGGCAGAGGGACAAGGCCGCTCTGTCCAAGGCCGGCAAGAAGGGCAACGACACGAACAGCCTTGACAACAGGATCGCCAGCCTCGCCGAGCAAATCAACAAGAACACCGCGGCAAGGGCAGAAGTGGTCAGAGAGATCGGTACGAATAGCAGCACCAGACGCACACAAATTTCCCATATACTCAGCTCCGTCTTTGGATCAGACGAACTTCAGAGGATGGTTACCGGCGGGGGGCCTGCGGTCGAGGACCAGCCCAAGAGCCGCTGTGACGTCGTGCGCGAGGAGCTGCGTGAGAAGCTTGAGAGCAGAAAGAAGGTCAAGGCCAAGAAAGAGCGGCGCATGAAGCGCCAATCCGACAAGGAGCCCGACAGTGCTAAGATGGCCGCTGAGGAGGCGGCGGCGCGCAAGAACGAAAAGGACCTTCTGCGGTCCATCGGCGAGCAGGTGTCCGACGAGAGTGAGGACCAGCAGCGGCAGGGCGAAGGGGGGCGAGGGCGGCAAGAAGGCCAAGAAGAAAAAACGACCCAAGACCAAGAGACCCCCGGCCGCCCCAGCTGCAGCGTCGCCATCCATTGCGGCAGACGGCAGCCCATATGTGCGTGAGGGAGAGGCGGATGGTGGCCTCGAGCTCGTGGACAGCGAGCCGTCGAGTAGTCCCCTCTGTGCCCCGGCTATCGCTGCTGGTGCTTGTGCTGCCGGCGTGAGTGCTGCTAGTGGGTCTCTGGTTCCTCCGATGGCTCCTTCCATGCCCCCGCTGCCCGATGGCGGGTGTGACTCTGACGACCTGCTGTCGGCTGATTGTGCGAGTGAGGATGGTGGCGGTGGTGATGGCCTGGCTGGCCAGAGGGCTGGACAGACCGATGGAGGAGCCGCAAGGGTCGTTGACGATGGGTGTGTGAGTGGTGGAGAGGAGGCCGAGGCGATGCGGGCCAGGTGAGGCGATTGATGGGCGTGGCTCTGGTCACACAGAGATGGTGTGTCTGTTCTTGTCAGGATTGCTGAGCTCGAGGCTGAGCTGATGCGCAGAGACCGGCAAAGCGGGGCGACGCGGTGAGAAGAAAAAGAACGAAGGCGGGAGGGATTTACCGCTGTGACGGCGATGTCTGACTATAGGCGTGAGTCGATGGAGAGGGAGGCCGGCCTTCAGCAGCAGCTTCATGCTGCCCAGCAGGAGACTCATGCGAACCGTCAAGAGATCCTCGCCGCCCGTCAGGAGAGCGAACGGTACAGCATGCATCACCATATCACCGCATCGAGTACGGTTGGCAGCTGTCCATCCTTGTGCTCTTGTGTTTATGTGCAGGTTGCGTGAGGCTCAGATGGCGGGCGAGCAGACCGTCGCTGACACTCTGGCGGCCAACGAGCGGCTCCAGGCCGATATGCGTCAAGCCAATGCGGATCGACAGCAGCTCAGCCAACAACACCAACGGCTCACCAAGTATCTACACACACACAGGAGGCAAACAAGGCCACCTGCACCTCACTCTCTATGTACGTGTTTTCAGTGACATCGATCGCGAGAGGTCTCTCCGTGAGCAGCAGGCGGCTCAGATGGGGCAACTCCAACATCACTTCGACAGACACAAGAGGTCAGTCAGCCACATAGCACTCACTCACCAACACCGCAATGAATGGGACGGAACTGTGTGTGTGCGTGTGTGTCGTTCGCCCTATCAGGGCTGCTGCTGAGAGGGAGGCGTCGCTCACTCACCAGAATACATCGCAGGCACAGGAGATCGCCAGGTACTTAACCGACAGGCCAACGTACCTCGTCACGCATCTCTCTCCCTTTGTGTTTGTCGCTCAATCAGCCTCACTGAGGCCAACCGTGCGCTTCAGGCCGACATAGATCAGCTACGCAGCAACCAAATCGACAGGTCCGTACCCACTCAGACAAAGGCGGGCAACACCAGTGCATGCCCTTTGATGTAATGCGATATGTGATATCATTCAGGTTGAGTGAGACCTTCAATGGACTGACCACTGCGGACGAGTTCAGCGGCTTTGCCATGCAGCTAGCGGACCGACAGACGGCACTCGGCAACGAGCAATCCCAGCTGCAGTCACTCGAGCGGCGGGCTCAGCAGGCCGCCCAGCAGAGGCGGGAGACCGAGCTGCGTCAGCAGATGCGGCAGGAGATGCAGCAGAGCAACCAGAGGACACGAGAGGAGGTCACCGACCGTCAGGTGTGCCAGGAGAGGGAGCGATCGGTGGTACTGCGGCCGTGCAACCACTTCTGCATCTGCCAGCACTGTGCACAGACCATGCAACCTCGCCACTGCCCCCTGTGTCGGCAGGCCTTCACCGGCTGGAGCCCCGCCATATTCTCGTGACACTGGATCGACCCACTGTGGGTGCTGTGGTGGGGCTGTGGTGCGGTCGAATGCGTGTGTCGACGGCCGGTATGATATCATGGCAGACAGACAGCAGGGGTAAGGGGCCACTAGTTGATTTAAGAGTTTTGCTGCTGTGTGTCCGTGTCACCCAGAGGCAGCCTTTATGGCCTTTCGACCCTTCACTCCATAGCATAGCTTCCTCCTTTATATCGACTACCAGCCTGCCTCGCTGTCTGACTGTGTGTGCCACCGACCGACGCTATCATGGCAGAGTTGTGTTCTGTGATGTGTGTGTGTTGATTGAGAAGAGCTTCTATGCCCTTTTAACCACACCTCACTCACCATACTGTATTGCATTCCATTGCATGCGTCTCGCTCCTTGCCTTATGTGTATATATATATCCAACAGCTGCCTCGCTGCCTAGGTCGAAGGAGGCATATGTCTGGTGCTGATGTGTGCGGGGTGTACATACAGACATACCTCTATTACATACAAAGCCATCCATTCATCCATCTGACTTCTTGGGGGTTGCCTGGCTTCGGTGCCTGGTGCGTCTGAATGCATGTGAGCAGAGACCTCTACAGTGACCAACCCAGCCACGCATCAATCCAGCAGATTTTGTCGGGTCGTTCATCGCTGCTTCTGCGTAGCGTGGTGGGTGTCTCGAACACACACGTGTTGTGAAGATGGTTTTACGAAGGCAACGCAGCCGTCAACAGCAGTCAGCCTCACACACACAGACACAACGCTCATCTCATACCCCACACGCCGACAGCGAAGAGACGTCAAGCAAGCAGCCCCACCACCCACACACCCAGCCATCCATTTCTCTGCCTCTCCGCCCCTGTTGCATGCCTCTCTGCCTGGCTGATGTGGGCACACAAAGAGAGACAGACAGGCAGGCGGACAGACAGACAGACAGGCGGACAGACAGACAGGCGGACAGGCAGACAGGCAGACAGAGTTGTTGGGAAAGGGGTTTGTTCCCCATGTGTGTGTGTGTGTGTGTGCGTGTCTGTACCATACATAGCCTTTGTCCGGTTCGTACCACATTTCAAATTGTATCCCATGTTGTTCACTATGTAAGTAACTCAACAGCAACCTCAACATATCACACAAATCCCCTCACACACGTAGGAGTTTTTGTGTGACAGAAGACACACAGCACGACCTACGTGTACTGTCTGCGCGGTTGCAGACACACTCTCAAAAGCCAATGACCGACAGACAGGAAAAAGTCTCACGACTAGAAAAAGACACATTATTGCACTTATTCGCACGCGCTCACTCTCACTCGCCCACAGCTGCCTTTCTCCCTCCCCAATCTAATTCACTGGCGAGGTCTTGCCGTCCCATCCCATGATGCAATCGGACCCGACGCAATCTGACTTGGCGGGAGGCCCGTGAAGAGCGAACAGCTCAAGCAATCGTGTCTCGGCTTCAGCATCGGTTGTTGAGAAGATGTCATACCGTCTCTTCTTAATCTGGAGCCACGTGGCGTCGTAACTGGAAGCGCCAAAAACAACGCAGCACGAGAGACACGAATATCTTCTATTGATATGTGTGCTCACTCTGGATTGATTTCATCCCAGCAGGCGCATTCTTCGATCTTGAACCCGCCATCCTGCTCAACCTGTGCGACCGTCTTGAAGAAGGAGACAGGCGAATTGTCCGCCCCGTCTATCAAGTCGGAGAGCGCCACGTAGTTGGCTGCGTCTTCAGTGAATGGAGGCCATACACCGTCAGAGTTGTCAGTTGGGTCAAAGGGAAAGCCGGTGTCGATGAAGTTCTTAACTATCGGGAGGAATCCCTGATTCCGCACTGGGTCGCCAGGCTCATCGAGCGTCAGCGCGACATCCTCTTCCAGGTCTTCTGAGAAGTCAAAGTTAGGAAATATCCTCTCCCCGTTGCCGAGGACCCACATCTGCATGACATATACACGTGCGTGTAGCATCAGTGTCTATTCGACATGCACCTACTTGCTCTTCCAAGTGGCATGTGATGCCAGGCTCGAAACAGAAGCTTCTGTAGATGTCGAATTGGCCCCCTTGTGGCGACTTCGCGTTGGTCATGAATTCAGGAGTGGAGAAATCCCAGCCACTCTCGTAGAAGCTGCCATAGCACACGACGCCGCCATCAGCACTACCTGCAAGTGCCTTGCATAATGCTCGGGCAGAGCACGAGAAATAGTAGTCGCCGTACTACACGAGCAGCACTCACACGTACACGTCATTTGTTGTATGAATGTTGTCAGTTCTTCTCTATCTTGACTCACCGCGCTTGAGACACTGCTAACGGTATCGGGGGCACTGCCAGGGCCGTTTGCTGGCTCACTCCCTTCCTTCCCACTGCATGGATGCGTGGACAAGGGAGACAGACATGCGGTGATACACACAGGAGCCAAGAAGGCATACATGCAGGCATGCCTGCGTGCATTTTCTGTGTATGACGGACTTCGCAGGATACTCGCGTAGGAGGCACTTAGCATCCTCGGGACCGAAAAGAAGGAGGAGCGCGATCCTGATCAGACAAACAGACACAGACAGACACAGACAGACAGACAGACAGACAAACAGACACGCAGGCAGTAAGTGACATGATCTACAGAGCGTTGTCAATGAGTGCGCGTCCAGACATACACGTATGATTTTGCGCTGAGCAGTGCAGAGATCAATGACGAGCCAGGAAGATTCGGCAATAGATCTAGCGCCTGCGTGAGACAACACGTATGGTGCGAGACATGGATCATACCCACCCACTCACTGCACGGATGAAGAGGGTCCCCTCATTCTTTCCCCCTGTGATCAGGAATCTTGGCCGATCGTCGGCGGGAAAGGAACCTGCCTCTTGGCCATAGAACTTGCCCTCCTGCGACGCGTGAGAAAACGTAACAAGATCATCCCTATAACGGATCTTTGTGTGGAGTCGCTGCCTGCCTTCAAGTCCTGAACGCAATCCGTATCCGGGAGGAATGGGGCTACTCCGACAGGACTGTACGGCTCGGCAAGGTAGCTGAAATCGCCAACCACAATAGCCTGTGTAGTCACGACAGACACAGAGGGAGACAAGCTGACGCATGCACACAGACGTGTCATACACACATACCGCCAGACCCGCCGCATTGCCAAGCCGTATCTTTTCAACATCAGCGTTCTGCGGGGGATAAAAGCCGCCACACTCCACCGTCGTACTGCTGATCTTTTCTATCGAGTGCTGACCTTGAGGCACTCGATGGTCTCTTCTCGCACCACAAACGCACCATTGGCATCCACTTTCAGACTCTCAAACAAACCAATGCACCTGCTCGCGTGTGACAAAAAACAGTGTTTCCTTCCTCTGCCTGCCCGCGCCTTATGCGTCTGTGCGTCATCAGCCTGCTCACTCGAGTGTCTTAAGAATTGCCTCTGTCTGTACTGTCAGAAGAGGGCCGGCTCGATCGGGGAGTCCCCATGACCCGGAGGACAAGATGACTTGCTCGATCTGCCCTAGCGGCAGGTTTGTAGCCAGCGGTGTCACTGGACTCGTCAAGACGCACTGCAATAGGAAGAAAAAAGACGGCAGCGCGTCAGCTGTGATAGTACATGTGCTACCGCTGCCAGCTTCGCTCCTGCAGAGAATCCCCATAGGTTGAGGCTCAGCTCCGAGAAATCACAAAGTCTCGACCCTTTGTCGCACACTTCACCGACAAAAAACTGCGTGATAGCCACATCCACAGCCACATACGAATAGCGACACAGTTGATATGTGTACACGGCTCGCGTACGGTGGCGTATCTCTCGAGCCATCGTAAGACTGCCCACGCATCCGTAAGGCCGTAATTCCCAGGAAGTTCTGGCCGCTCGTTGGGCTCGGTTGTGAAGGAAGACAGCCAGCCAAGTACGCCAAGTCGGTAATTGACACTTGCAACCAACGCTCCTGCAACACACACGTGGCATTCGTGACTGGTGAGTGCTACAAGTGTGCATGGTATTGCTGACCCGTTCGTCGTGCGACCTCTTCGGCATACACGAAGTCCGCCATCCCAGTGCCTGTCATCCATGGAAAAGAGCACGTATTGATGACCCATCTCCCCCTGCCTTTCTTCACTCACCTGCGAGAAAGCCGCCCCCATGCAGAATGATCTAGACACGCAGACAGCGAGAAAGGAGAGCTAGATGAGTCCTGTGTGTGCTTGGGGCCTCTCCGCCTACAGGTCTGAACCTACGATGATCTGTGTCGTTCTGAGGGACTCGTCTTGAGGGCGCCAAATGGAGAGGAAGAGACACTCCTCGCTTTCCACGCCATTGGGGGCTTCGCATATGTCTGGGGCATGAGGGAGAGGAGGGGCGAGCAGTTGCGTGTGTATGTGTGTGGTTGTGTTACCAGGTGTATCGATCGTCAACTTGCAGCCAGATACGCACGCGTCGCCTTGATTCTCTTCGCCATTGATTGTCGTCCCCGCGTCATCCTCTCCATACACCCTCTGCACACCGACAATACACACCAAAACTGAGCATTCCCCCGTCTCCTCCCGTTTTCTTGTCCCAACGTACCTCTGTGGCTGGCTCGAAGCGTTCAGCAGTGGCATATTGGATGCCTGCCGACACCCGACAGCACATGGAGAGACAAACAAATGTCATGGATCCTTCCTTGACAAGTGCAAGCGACTTTTTCTGACTCACCGAGGAAGAACTCAACGGCTTCGCCCTCATCTCGTCCGACAGTTGCTGTGCTCTCGCCAGGATCAAACCGCACGCACCCAAAGCCATCAGGCAAGTCGGCCTTATCACCCCCTTCGCACCGTTCAGCGGAGTCTTCGACAGGGATGAAGACGGGCTCTGTGGCACATCGGGTGACACAGAGGACCACAATGAGGCCGCCCCACAGGCAGCTGAGGCGAATCATCACGGGTGCGCTGTATTTACGTACAGCTGCCGTTGGGGTGAACGGACGTGCTCCACAAAACAGCCAGTTAGACAGACAGACAGACAGACAGAGGCCCGCTTATGTGTTCTGTATCGCGTAGAGCGTATAAGGAGCGTATAAGGAGTTTCGGTGTACGCGTGTGACTTGGCCATTCATGATCATTCACTGTGTGCAGCCCGTTCATGATGATCATTCAACATTGCCATTCACCTGTGTCCGTCAACTCATTCATTCACCATGGCCATGCACCGAAGCCCCTGATGAAGGCACGTGACTGATCTTTCCGCCACTGAAGTTTGCATCTCTGTATGTCTCTCTCGCGTAGACGTAACATAGCACTGTGACAGCACAATATGTGCGATGATCTCTGGGCAGGCAGGGGACGCAAATGCAAGTGGCGTCTCTCTGTCTCCCATTGTCTCCGTCACATCCCATTGGGACTATCATGGCCCATGATAAACAGCTGGCAAAATCCATACGGACAGATGGGTGGGGGGATGATTGATAGACATACTGTAGGATGTCGTCAGATAGGTAGGGTAGCACGGCTCTATCAGTGGGACGGCTCCCTCTGATTGCTTCGAAGCTCGCACAACTAGCATTCATCTGCGGCTGGCTTTCAAAATTGCATGCACTAGCACAACCCACCCCATACATACAATGGCATGCATCGCCCACACGTGAATGCACTGACAGATGAGAGAGAGAGAGAGTGAGTGAGTGAGTGAGACAGACTAAATTGTGCATGCAAACTTGGCAGCGCATAGCACAAGAAACAGCTTTCAGACAGGCAGACGATGCCGCCCCTCTCATCGATATATCTGCACCGTCCGCTCCTATACGCCGACGTGGCCTCTCAGTCAGCGACACGAGTCGGCCTGAGCCATCAAACCTCTGCATTCATTACAAACGCAAAGGCGAGACTCGTATGCGTAAATGGTTACTTATACGCGTCCTCTGTGCTGCCATGTCAACGCACTCACCCGACGTATTCAGCGCTCTGTTTCACCACTCTGCGGCGGCCCGGATCGGTGAAGTCGACATACACCAGACCAAAGCGCTCCACATATCCCTTATCCCATTCGACTGTATAAACAAACAGCACAGCACACATTTATTCAATGAATGAATGTATGTGTGTATGGTATGTCTTTGTCTGCATACTGACAATTATCCAAAAGCGTCCAGGCAAAGTAGCCCACGACGGGAACGTCGTCCTCTAGGATCGCCTTGGCCATCTCTGTCAGGTAGTCTTGATAGAACTTGACCCTGCCGTGGTCGTTGATCAGAGAAGCTACGTCGCCGTCGCCACTGTCATGATCAGACACTCCTGCATGGATGCACAAGAGAGCTTAGTCAGTGTGTCCTCATCTGGTACGCAGGCGCAGCTGACCGTTCTCTGTCACGATGATGGACTTGGGATTCCATCGTCGTTTGATGTATGCCAGAAGGCGGTTGAAGCCCCACGGGACGATATATAGCCAATCCGAGCCGGCCTTGGCACCGATGGGAGCCCCGTGTCTGGCCCTCACTTCTGCCTCGAAGCCCTCTCCCCTCGTGGAGTCGACGAACCTGCACAATGCAATCATGTGGGCGTGATGTGTCGTGTGTCATGTCGTCTCTCTCTCTGGGTGTCGTGTGTCACTTACGAGGACGTGTAGTGATTGAGGCCAAAGAAATCAGAGGAGCCCTTCACAGCGGCGATCTCTTCCTCTGTGAAGACAGGCAACGCCCCGCCGAAGTAGCCCTTCACGTTTGCTGAATAATCGCCTAAGCCGTATATCTGATGACCACACGCAACCACAATGGCGGTCTGTCTGTCTGTCTCTATATTTGTGTGCCTGTCAGCCCTCCCACACATACAGGCTCGGCGAACCAGCCCAGCATCAGGTCCACCTTCTTGTCGGAAAGAGCCCGGTCTGCTGCACTATTGCTATCGAGAGGCTCAAACCAGTCACTATTGAGCGTGATTCCCAGCTGTGCATCCGGCCGACTGGGGGCGTATCTCTCCTTCCAAATGCCATGAGCCTGCAAGAGTGCCAGGCAACACAAATGCGTGTTACGTCTGTCGGTGGCTGTCTGTCATCCCTCTCTGTGTGTGTCCTTTCGCACTCACCCTGGCGTGTGCGAGGAGGGCGTGATGGCCGCAATGGAGCATATCACTGACTTTCTCAGACCCGGGTGCACCAGGCGCGTCTGAACGGGCACACAGAGCCATATATGTGTCCTTCCTTCCATGCGTGTGATGTGTTAACACAACACATCCCGTAGTACGTACGTAAGCCGAAGTGATATCCTTGGAAACAAAAGACCCACGGCTCGTTGAGCTGGATGGATGGAAAGCATACAATTGGATGGAAAGCATACAATACATGGACGGACAGGTTTAGCATGGTTGGTCGGTCACAAGCTGTGTCCTCGCCCTCGGGGCCTGCCTGGCCTGCCTGACCTCACCGTGATCCAGTATTTGACATCAGGGAGCTCAGAGAACATCATGTCGGCAAAGTCCGCGAACGCCTCCACTACACTCTCTTCGCGCCAGTCGTAGTGGCTGAGACCATCAGACGGCACACAGACGAAAGCCGATCAGGCATGGTGGGCGGAGCGCGGGTGTCATGCTCACGCAGGCAGGTCCCAGTGGTAGAGCGTGACGACTGGTTCAATACCATTCGCCAGCAGCTCTTGCGTCAGCGTGCGATAAAACTGAATGCCTGCACCCAACATTCATCAGCACACAACAAAGAGATCAGCACAGACACACCACTGGTGGCATGTGCGTGCCGTACGTACCTTGTTCGTTCCTCAATTTGCCGTTCATCACACGTGACCAGCTGATGGAGTACCGAAAATGTGTGAAGCCAAGCCGCTTCATCAGCTGGATGTCCTCCGGGTACTGCACAGACACACACCCATGCACGCATCTCTCGCTGTCGGTCGCTTCCCCGCCCTTGGACGCACCTTGTGGTAAAAGTCACAAGCCACATCCGCCTGCAGACACACATTGACAGACAGACAGACACAGACAGACAGACAGACACAGACAGACACAGACAGACAGACAGACACAGACAGACAGAGAAAGGAATCAATCATGTAATGCGTCGACGTCTGTGTGTCCGTGTGGTGGGCCTATAAGCGATGCAGCTTGCGTACGTTTGCCATCCCCCTGCTGTGTGTGAATGTGTCCCAGTGGCTCGGTGTTCGGCCGCCCTCATTCCAACCTCCCTCAACCTGCACACACACACCCACACCCACACACACGTGACCCAACCATTCTCATCTCAACGACCAGAAGCCACCCGCGCAAGCCACTCGCGGACGCACCTGATAGGCGGCCGTAGCAGTGCCCCACATGAAGGGCTTTGTGAGGGTGCCGTCGGCCTCCAACTTGCCGATAGCATCATGCAGCATTTTGGCATCCTCGGTACAGTTCTGGGCCACGGTGCTGCTGCCCAGCCACCAAAGAAGAGCTATGGCACGCAGCCCAACCATCTGGAGAACGAACGAACGCTGCGTGGAGGAGAGAAAAGGGGTGTCCCACAGCCGTTAAATGGCCAGGATTCGTCCTGGACGGCGAGGCGTGTGGTGGTATTATTGCTGGCTCGTCAGCATGTATCGTGGTGTATTGCGGACGTGCATGTGGTTGGACATACAAGAATGACTCATCGGTCTCTCGCCTTCGTCTTCGCAAGCCTGCGGCCCATGACGTCTATGGCTACGTCTATCTAATGCGTCAACACGCAAGCCTGTCAGTCCTCAGCACAGCTATCTGTCTGTCAACACACATCTGCAATGGATGGGATGGCCTTGAGCAGCCGCGTCCTGTGTGAGGAGATGTGTTTCCAGCCCTTCAAGGAGCGAACATGGTCAGACTGCATCAGTCAGAACACAGCAAGACACATCACACATGGCCCACGGCCAAGACAGAGACTGAATGTGAGCATGTGTGTCACCTGTCTGGATGTGGCGAGTGCAATGTCGTCTTTGAGTGGCGCCAGCCTTGACATGTCTCCCCCAGCTGTCTTGAGAGCCTCTGCTTGGAAGAGGCATGCTCGATGGAGATAGTACAGATCATCCAACGCCTCCCACACTGACAAATCGAAACACACCAGGCACGACATCCGGGCGGGCTCCATTGTGTGTGTCTTTGCGTCTGCTGACCGACCGTTGCGTCCCACAATCATTGGGCCGTGATTTCGTAAGAACACAGCACGCACTCTGCTTGTGGCCCCGCCGCCAGTGAGGACGTCGGCCACTCTGTTGCCCTCTGCATAGCCCTCCTCCGGCCCACAAGCCAACCCGCTGAACTTCTCATCATACACGACATTGTCGTGGAAGCGGCAGGAGGCCTGATGGATGGGGAATACCAAGCCTCCTGCAAACACACATACTCACACCGACCCACACGTGAGACAGTGGACGCAGGCGAGCAGGTAATTCGCGAACCGTTCTCCGTGCGCATGACGCTCATAGTGGTGGCAGTGGGCATGTGCGTGTGAAGCACCACGCTGCCTGCCATTCAGGTGCGTGCATGTGCCCCATTCACACACATGATTGTATGGGTGCATCATGTGTGTGCTTTCTATGTGTTCGGGAAGCACCATTCGCACCCAGGCGCTCGTGGATGGCCCGGCGGATGTGGAAGCCAATGACGTCAAAGTGGGCCGAGGAAGGGCACGCCTCATTGCTCCCGCATCCCCAGTCTGCCTGCCGAATGACCGCCATGACCAACACAAACCATCGGTGAGATTGTGTTGCCCTGCCTACCGTGCACTACATCGCCCGCTGCATTGACCAGGATTATATCCCTCACTGTCACATCTTGCCACTGCACACCATGCCTGAATGAAGGGAAGGCAACCAAATGCACACATGCAGAGAAAGACGTGTTGACAGACGCTGTGCACCCGTGTGCTCACTTGATCAGGAAGAAGAGCATGGACCCATCATCTGTTTTGACAGCAATCGTGAAGTTGCTGCTATCGCCTTCATTGTAGCCCCATTCGTCACACAGGCGATACTGAGAGAGAGAGAGAGAGAGAGAGAGAGAGAGAAAAGAGAGAACGCACGGGACCGTAACAGAAGAGAGAACGCATGGAACTCATGGACACCAACTCGTTGTCGTGCTTTGTGGCTTACCATGCAAGCCAGATCTACGGCGAGGTCAGTCAGCGTCGCCTCGCCTGTTGAGGCTGGCGGCCCAGCGAGAGAGATGCTCCCTTGCGCACACAACTTAACAGGCAGGATCTCCATCTCAAGCTTTCGAAGAGCAATGGATGCCACACACTGCGCGTGCCATCATGAAGGAGATATATTTGATGTGGCAGCCGGTCCGAGACAGCTGGGGGTTGTGAGGCGAGAGGAGAGGCGCGCTGTCTGCCGAGAGAAAAGAGAGGACACCGGAGAGGGAAAAGAAAAACCGGCTGATCCAGGCGCTGCTGCTGCTGCTCACTTCTCTCTTAACACATCAGTTTGCGGGTGATGCGCGGACTTCTTTCACGCGAGCCAATAGAATAGATGCGAGCTTGCGAGCTTTCGGTCTCGCGATCTCCCTCAGACGGCTGCTCCCTCAGGTCGCGCTGATTTCACGTCCCGTTGTCTAGCGACAGACGAGTCCGGTGACGCACTGGCTGACCTGGGAGTGGAGAGTCCCTCCACACCCGACGACTCTTTTTTCGCTATCTATCTCTCTCTATCTCTCTCTATCTGTCTACACGCCGTCTGTCGGCTTCAGCGTGTCGCATCATCAGCTGTGACTGACTGACGCACTTACTCACTGACTGTCTGACTGACTGCCTGGCCACTTGATTGATTCACGACAGAGAGAGTGATCCTTTTTCTCCTCTGACTCAGTGCTTGCCTGGTAACTGACTGCGCTGACTGCTCGAGTGAGACTGCGTGTACGTTTTTGCGTTTTGACTCACTCTCTGTGTCGTTTTTGGCGATCTCTGTGAGGTCGTCGAGGCATATGCCTCTCGGCGTTGCTGTGGCCGCCAAGGCCGAGAGCGCCCTGCCTGACATGCCCAAGGCCACATCCAAGACCACGACTACCGCGGCCGGCAGCCCGCCCTGCCCCTCCCCATCCAGCTCCCTCCTGCCCCCCCTCGCCCAACCCAGCAGCGACTCGTCGTCCTCCATCCGCCGAGAATCATCCCCCCACCCCCCAGCACACCAGCGGCCAGCGGAGCCCAGCGAGCCGGCCGGGCTGTATGACTTCTACGCCGAGGGGTGCTGGTGGCCATGTGGCGACGGCGCGCCGACGGAGGTGCCCGAGGACGGTCCCGCAATCCGGCGGCTGATCTCCTACTGGGCCCGTGTGCAGCCATCCGTCAATGCCGTCCGCTTCCTCAAGGTGGACGGATCGGTCGAGTCGGCTATCAGCTATCAGGAGCTGCATCGGCGGGCCGAGGCGCTGGGGCGGCAGCTGCTGCTGCTGGTGGATCGGGGTCAGGATGGCAAGCCTGCGACGGTGCTGCTGTGCTATCCGCCGGGCATCGACTTTATCGTGGCGTTCTTCGCGTGCCTGTACAGTGGGGTTGTCGCCGTCCCCGTCTACCCACCTGATCCATCCAAGGTAGGAAAGTGAATAAATCTCCACGGAAGACCAGCATTGCATCGGTTGCTCGCACATGTGTGTATTCATGTCTGTCTGTCTGTCTGTCATTCGTTCATTCAGTTGAGCACGGACCTTCCCCGTTTCACGCGGATCGCTTCGACGGTCAAGGCCCAGGCGTGCCTGACCAACAATTTCTATCAGCGCATTCTTCACGGCCTCAACTGCAAGCTCACCCTCCACAGCCACTGCCCCTCGTCCATGGCCGCCCACCTCCACACGCCCCCCGCATCCGCCCACAGCGGCCACACACCGCCGCCGGCCGCCAAGGAGAACGAGCTGACCGACGAGGTGCGCAAGGAGTGGCGCAACTTGCGGTGGTTCAGCTCGCAGGAGCTCATCGACAGGGCCTCCAAGAACGGCCACGGCCCGTCCCTCCCCCCTCTCCCCTCCCACATCCCCCACACCCAGGTGGCCTTCCTGCAGTTCACCTCGGGGTCCACCAACCACCCCAAGGGCGTCATGGTCTCACACGGCAATCTCCTGCAGTAAGAGGCTGGGCCAGCTGTGCACACGACACGATGCGTGCCGTGACGGATGCGTTATTCACTGTGCACTGTCTATGTGCTTGTGGACTTCAGCAACACCCATCTCTGTGTGGCTAATTACGCGTTCGACCCACGAGACGATTACCGCACCAAGCACGACCTCAGGAAGGACAGCGGAGGGGAGGCCGACGGCAGCGAGGAGCCCTTCGTCCCGCTGTATGATCGGCCAATGCGCGACTTCGTGAGATGGTGGTACAAGAGGCAGATTCAGTGTCGGAGTGTGCTGGGGCAGAACATACGCTCGTTCAGCTGGCTGCCCGTCTATCATGACATGGGTACGGTCATCGCATCGCATAGATGAGGAATGAGATGCACGCACCGCACTGAGACCCACTTACTTTGTCTTTTCTTCTCTTCTTATCAGGTCTGATTGGTCTGGTGGGTGGCACTCTCTTCTTCGGCAGCGAGCTGATCATGATGTCCCCGCTGGACTTCGTGCGTCGGCCCTGGTTGTGGCTGCAGGGCATGACCAAGTGGCAGTGCCACGCCACGGCAGCTCCCGTAAGCCCTTGCGACATCGTTAGAGCTCTGACAGGATGATCGGTATCTGCAAACTTGTGTCAATCATCATCAGAACTTCGCCTACGACCTGGTCAGCCGCAAGACGCCTGAGGACATTAGGAAGTCACTCGACCTCAGCAAGGTGGCCGGCTTCCTGTGCGGGGCAGAGCCGCTCAGATACTCGTCCATCAAGAACTTCATCGATGTGAGGGAACCCTCAGCTGACTTCCCTCTCACCACGCCACTCTCTCATGTGTGATGTGTATGTGTGTGCGCAGACGTTCCGAGAGGTTGGTGTGCGCCCCAGCACATTCTTGCCTGCGTTTGGGTTGGCTGAGAACACCCTGGTGGCCACCGGCAGACGGCCAACCCTCGACACAGAGCCGCTGGTGCTGTCGATCAACGCTCTAGAGATAGAGATCAACGTAGGATGCGATGCGATGCGATGCACCCAGGCCAGGCATCGATGGGATGGACACGTGTCTGATCGTTTGCCTTGCCGTGTGTGTGCTTGTATCGATCGTATACGTCAGGGCAATGTTCGGATCGAGGAGGAGTGGTATGGATTCGGCCCCAGCTGGACGGAGGGGTCGGAGCGCAAGATCATCATCGGCAACAGACTCCCTGTCAACGACACAACAGGTATGCCGACTCACATAAGTCGGCATACACACAACACACACACACACACACACACGATAGCTACTCAGAACCACCGAGCTGCCCTCATTCATGTGCTCTCCTTTTTCCCTTATCCATCCATCCATCAGTTGCGATTGTGGATTCGTCCACCCACCAGCCGCTGCCCGAGGGCCACGTGGGAGAGGTGTGGCTGTCATCCCCTTCCATGGCCCAGGGCTACCTCGGTCTAGCGGAGCAGACACGCCAGACGTTCCAGGCCACCCTTTCGGGCACCACCAACGCACCCAAGCACGAAGGGCCCTTCCTGCGCACCGGCGACACGGGGTTCCTCTACAAGGGCGAGCTCTTCATCGCCGGCCGCGCCAAGGACATGATCATCGTCAGGGGGCGCAAGTGAGTGAGCGGATCAGACAGACAGACAGAGATATGGGGGCATAATCCTTCCTCCTGCTGATCTGATGTGTGTGCTTTCCTTTTCATTCACACAGGTACATCCCGCAGGACATTGAGGAGGCCATCGAGGCCAAGTGTGACGTCGTGCGACCCGGCTGCTGCGCGGCTTTCCCTGTCGACAGCGAGCAGGGAGAGGGCATGGGCATCGCATGTGAGCTGCGGCCGGAGAAGGTCAAGGCGCTGACCATGGCGGCGGGCAAGAGCGACATGGACGACGACACGCTGCTCAGCAAGAGGGGCGCCAGGCGGCAGGGCGGCTTTGATCGGTTCGTGTCGATGCTGGCGTGCACGACGGATCGGTGCGGCGACAAGGACGCGGTGCTGCGGACGATCGCACAGGAGGTGGTCCGTGCGGCGAGCATGAAGGTGGGTCTGCCCGTGCAGCAGATCTGGCTGCTCAAGCCGCGCGTGCTGCCCAAGACCACCTCGGGCAAGATGCAGCGGAGCAAGGCCAAGCAGATGCTCCAAAGAAGTCGGGCCAATGGCAAGGGCGGCGTCATGTGGTGCGAAGACCTCTGCACGGCAGCAGCACCAGCAGACACCGTCAAGATCAAGTACACGCCCCGCAACGCGCCGTCCCCGTCCACCGACGCCTCGACACGATCCCTCTCCACCGCCACCCCCTCCAGCTTCCTCTCCTCCACCGACACAAAAAGTCCCTCCTCCGTGCAGCCCACATCGCCCACCGACTCATTCCGACCCTCATCCACCAACGACACGGGCAGGACCGCCCTGGCCGACGCCCTGGCGTCCGTCGCCCACTCGGTGGTGGGTGGGGAGGAGCGGCCGTCACCCGTCGGCAGACTGCTCGATCTGGGCCTCGACTCGATCGGCATGACCGAGTTCCGCGAGCACGTGCGGCGGATGACGGGCATCGACCTGCCGCCCTCGTGTATGTTCGACAACCCCTCGCTGGACGCTTTGGCTGGGCAGCTGGTGGGCAAACGTGAGCAGGAGGGCGTGATGGACCCCATCGCCCCCTTCTCAACAGCAGCCACCAACCCCGACAGCAGCGGGGTGAGCGCGACGGACGACGGCACCAGGAAGAGGGACCCCGAGACGGACGTCAACAAGGTCGCCAAGAGCTTCAAGTTCGACGTCGCCTCCCTCCCCGCCCTCCCCCCCCACCCACCACGCAAGAGCAGACACGTGCTCGTGACGGATGCGACGTCAGCAGTGGGCCGGTTCCTCACCGTGGCGCTGCTGCAGGCCAAGGAGCAGCTGACGGTGCATTGCCTGGTGCAGACCAACAGCGACGAGGAGGGTCTGCGGCAGGTGCGTGAGGCGTGCCAGGAAGCGGGCATCTGGAAGGACGAGTACCAGAGCCGGCTGATGATCGTGCCCGGCCACGTGACGCGGCGGCATCTCGGCCTCAAGCCCAACCACCTGGCCGAGCACTTCTTTGCCGAGCTGTGCGAGCGGATCGACCTGGTCTTCCACACGGGCTTCGCCAACGGCCAGTCGTTCATGCAGAGCTACGACCGCCTGCGCGAGAACACCTTCGCGATGAAGGAGATCGTGCGGCTGTGCACCACCAGCAAGCTCAAGCCCCTCCACTTTGTGTCGTCCCTCACCCTCTTCCCCGAGTACGTCCTTGGCCAGGGCAAGGAGCTCCGCGAGGCCACCACCCTCGACACCAAGCGCCTGCGCGAGGTCTGCCCACCCGAGCAATTCGGCCTCCCGTGGACCAACTGGTCGACGGAGCAGGTGCTCAAGAAGGCGCGGGCGAGGGGCCTGCCGT